TGGATTTTGCTTATGAATATGTCTTTTTGGGATGTATGTTCTTCTGGGATTCTCAATTGTCTTTGCATTAATTTGTTATAGCGGTCAAGCACACTAGTTTTTTTCTCCCCCTTTGATTTTGGTCTTGAGTTGTCCCAGGACGATTTGGCTGCAAATTTTCATTCACTGATGTGAGAAACTCATAACTTTAACCTATCTGATTTTTCCATGCTTTACATTACTCAAACCAAGAGCGATTAGTTGGCGATTTTGTTTGTAGAATCTAGCACTAGTTAAAATTAGCTTGAACAACCACAGGTTGGCTTCCTTTTTTTTTCCTTTTTTTTTTTGTTTCTTGGTTTGTCTTCTTAAACTACAATATGGAAGCAGTGCTTTCAGATTCGAATCAGACCAGTCGATCAAACTGATCGAACCGAGAACTGGCCAGACATCAGTCCGAGCTAGTTAAAAAACTATGAAATTAAAAAATAATGAACTGGAGAATTAGGTTATGGACTCTGATTTGATATTTCAAGAATGTAAGGACTATTCCTGTTGAAACAGGTTGTCTTATCATCTTTGAGGGGCTATTTCCTTGGCAGTGGCATTCTAACTTCAAATAGATCCATCAAAGCTCTCCAAAAGGAAGATTCTTTCTCGTTCTGTATATGGAGAAGGTTTAGTTACAATTCAGAATGACTATAATGCTTTCTCCTTTTCTATATTCAATTGGTGGGCAACTTTTGATCTAGTGGCATCTTTTCTTATGTTGTAGGCAATGACAAATCTAGTTTGAGGGTTTATAGTTAAGTATTGGAAAAGATTCATGGTACAGTATAAAAAGAAGAGGGTGGAATCTATCTTCTTGAGGCTTAGAGCTCTGCTGCTGCAACAAAGATGAGGTACACTCCTTGAAGAAGCGCAGAGCTTCCCCCGTGGAGGCCAATTGTGTATTTTGTCCGCCCCAGCTTCGGGTGCTTGGAGGGGGGCCTCCCCAGGATTCGAACCCTGGTCCCTCTGTATAAGGATCTTGGGGTTGAAGTTCTGGTACCACTTGAGCTACTAGCCCAAGTTTCACATTAATTTCAACAATATTACGAACCTCCTCATTGGGGTCACCTAAGTTTTCAAATAAAAAATATAACTTTTTTACAAGCATAATTTCAACAATTTTGTCCTGCCCAGCTGAGCTACCCAGCTCGAAATAAACAAAGCTCCAAAATTTCGTCAATCCATCCCACGAAAACTAATGTGAAACTTTAAGACTCACTAAAATAAGAAATTAACTCGAAAATTCCAGAAAATTTTGACCCCAATGAATTAAAAAAATGTCAAAAAATGAAGAGTATCAATGTTGCGGATAAACATTACAAGGGCAACATAGGAGCAGAGAGTGTAAAAGATCCTATCTTGCTTTAGATTATGCAGTTTCTCCTCCTCCAAAAAACACTGTGGGTCTTTTTTAGGAGGAATTCAAGCAATTGTTTTAGAAATTAGCAGACAACAGGGTGTGAAATGGGAGTGATTTTGTGGAGTGATTCTGTGGAGTGAAATGGCAGTTCTTTCGTGGAGTGATTTTTTGCATTACCAGACAACGGGGAAAGGGTTTTGGAAATGAGGAAAGTGAAATGGGGATTTTTGATAAAAAGGAACTTTTCATTAATAATTTAGGCGGGATAAATTTGATGCTATTTGACAATGATGCTCCATCCGTTTCCAAAATTTTTATTTTTTTATTTGACACTCAATAAAACGACGCCGTCTTATTTAGCTGATATAATTTGGCGACATGGCTTCGTTTTGTCCGTTGATGATGGCCCGTTACAGACAACCGCTCCGGCCCTTCGTCCGTAAGTTCATTATTGCTTCAGACTTGCCAGCATAGACTCACTCAGTCATCCCTTGTTTAGTCGAAGTCTTTTACACTTTTCGTACACTGCTTAGTTGTTTTTTGTTTTCGTACAAGTCTGTCTGCTCATGAAAAGAGGCAAAAGTTTGGGTAGATCAGATTTATGAGGCTAATTGATTGAAATATAGATACTTGCCAAAAAGTTCCGTCAAATGTGGTCCATCAGCTCCGTGGTATCATTCTATGCCTATATGGCGCGACGGGCAGCAAATTTTTTTTTTTTTTTTTTAAAGTTGTTCTGGCCGTCGCGCCATGTTGGAGCGATGGTCAGAGCTGTCAGAAATTTCTGACCGTCGCTCCTATATGGCGCGACGGTCAGGAATTTATTTTTTTTTTAAAATCTTCTGACCGTCGGTCCAACATGGCACGGTCAGAAATGTTGTTGTTTTTTTTTTTAAATCCTCCTCCTCAGTAAAAAAGAAAATTTTTTCTTAGGGTTACATTTACGGTTAGGGTTAGGGTTTACGGTTACAAATAATTTAGAATTTGTTTTAATAAAAAATCCTTCAGCCCGGCGATTTAGAAATGTTTTTTTTTTAAAATCTTTGTCCAATTCAATTGGGAATTCGGCAAAAATTTTTCTGTAAAAATTATTTAAAATGAAAAGTTTTAAAAACAATACATTCAGTTTGACAAAATTTTAAAAACAAACATTGGGCTCGCAAGAATTTTAGCATTTTAAAGGAGATTAGATTTAAAAAATTTGATCCATTTGTTAAAGGATTTAGGGAATTCTTAAAGAATTAATGTTTACCATTTTATCAAGTTTAAGTTATATAACATGCGTAACTGTTATGATTTGTTAAATTTAAAAAATAATTTGATAATATGATTTAAATTGAAGTGATTGCGTAATGGATGAAAGTATTGCTTAATATTATTATGATTTGTTAATTTTAACTTTATTATGTATCATGCACACAGAATGTTAAAGGAACCGTAATTGTGTCAAAAAATGAAAAATTATAATATGAATTACGATTTATATATTTGAATTTTCATATAAAATGTAATCGTATAAAAAGATTAATAACATATTTGTAGAAATGAAGAATTATTTGCGTGTCATTATTTGATATATGATAATTAGTTTTAATAATTTAATCTATTAAAATAGCTGTAAAACGACTAGTATTTATTTGTTTTGTAGGTATTATCGTATAGGGACCCTTCTATCCAATTATAGGGTTTAATAAAATAACTTGTACTTCTTTATTTTGAAAATGTTTAACGTTATTCAAATTAAAAGTGATTGGATTAAACAGAAAAAGTAGACAACAAAATTAAATTAAATGTCATGTGAAATGCATTAAATGGATGAGATATAAAACATCGTCAAAGACAAAATAATATCAATGCCTCGCAGTTTTCATGCCTTTACCCTTAGATTCCTGACCGTCGCGCCATATAGGAGCGACGGTCAGAAATTTCTGACAGCTCTGACCGTCGCTCCAACATGGCGCGACGGCCAGAACAACTTTAAAAAAAAAAAAAATTTGCTGCCCGTCGCGCCGTGTAGGAGCGACGGGCATAGAATGATACCACGGAGCTGATGGATCACATTTGACGGAACTTTTTGGCAAGTATCTATATTTCAATCAATTAGCCGATTTATGACTCCACTCATAAATGATAAATCGAGTGGTACAAAATTTGTCACATTATACCTTCTTATTGCCGTAAAAGAGAGCCAAAAAAAAAAAAGTTACCAAACACCAAATGAGTGAAATTTTATTCCAATGCCAGCCCAAACAGTAAATGCAAGCAGTAATTTCTCAAGGTTAGACTAAAAACACAAAAGTAAAAAATAGCCTAAAAACACAAAAAAAAAAAACGTCTGCTGCCATGGATGACCGTGGAAATGGTCGTAAGTTCCTTTTCAATCCACCCAGACTGAATTATTGAAATGGCCCAGTGACTTCATTATTGGTTCAGACTTCTGAGCATAGCCTCAGTCAATCTGAGATAATAATGGGAATCCAATGCAAGCACAAGATAGAAAAACACATGGATCATTTAACAAGGGGATGGAGGAACTTGTGATTTTGGATAGAGATTATTTGCAAAAAAAAATCATTTACATGTAATAATATCATCACGTCTCAAGAGTTCTCTCATATTTCTTCTTCTTTGTTATATTCTTGTGGGATATTTTCTGCACCACCCAATTTTAACGAGTAAGAAAGCATTGGCGTAAGAATCAAAGGAGTATATCATTATTGTGGGTTGCTTTTCAATCCCACCACCAGGGCTGCATTATTGAAATGGCCCAGTACGTGAATTATTGTTTTAGACTTTTGGGCATAGACTCGGTCAATCTGAGATAATATAATGAACTGGCCACCACAAAAATGAAAAATAAATGGATAGATTGATAAAGGAAAAGGAATAAAGGATGCACTTTGGTCAAGCATTTTACACTTCGTTTTCTGCTTCATTTTTTCTTGATCAAATCCTAATTTTTGATCTTGCAAAATTTACCCTTACAAATCTCGATCACCTTTTTATCTTCTCAAATCACCTTTTTATCTCACATATATCACATCACATCACATCACACAAAATGTTACAGTAACTAAACCAAACAAATCATCCAAATAAATTATTATCCGAACAAACAAAAGTAAAAAAATAGCCTAAAAAAACTAGAAAAAAAAAGAAGGTAAAATGTATTTAACAAAACGCGTCTATCATGGATGACTATGAAAATTCTTGTAAGTTCATTATTAATTGCTTCAAACTTTTGAGCACCGAGCACAGCCTCTGAAATTGAGGTTTAGATGGTGAGAAATTGAATTCCAACTTCCCTTAGTTTTCTTTTTCCCTTTTCTCGGTGGAATTGAATTCCATCTTGATTTTTTGTAGACATTCAGGAACATTGAAAATTATCCCGTAGACATTTAGCTTTTGCTTAAGAAACCATCATCCTACTTTGCCCGAATATTTGGCATCTGATTTTCTACTCAAGATAAAGTAAGATGATTTTGAGATTCTTGAAAATGAAGGGACATTTTCTTGTTGATTTTGTGCACAATTGCCAAACAACTAGAAGAGTATTGGTTTAGAAAGTAAAGTAGATCTTGGCAACTTTTTGTTAAAGTAAAGAATTCATTTCCTTTCCTGTCGTGTCTATCACGTCATATGTTTGTCGGGAACCTTTTCGTCCTTTTCGTTTTCCTTCTATTGCAGCAAACTACTCGTAGACTTTTGGTTTCACCGACTGCTACATTCAACTCGTTCTCACCTTCAAACTTGCAAATTGCCCGGTTCCATTCCACACTCTCAAAACTATCAACTGCTCTCTTTCTCCCAGATATCGACCTGACCTGATGGCGGATGCACTACTTGGTCCCGTTGTAGAAGTTCTAGTGGAGAAGGCAATAAATTTGGCTTCTGAACAAATTGGCCGGTTTGTTGCATTCAAGAAAGACTTGGAGAAACTGAGGGATACGTTGACTCTGATCCAGGCTCTCCTTCATGATGCAGAGGAAAGACAGGTGACTCAACAATTCGTGAAGCGTTGGCTGGAGAAGCTTGAACGTGTGGCTTTCGATGCTGGTAATCTGTTGGATGACATCAACTATGAGATGATCCGGCGCAAAGTTGAGATTCAAAACCAAATGAAGAGGAAGGTATGCTTCTTCTTCTCACTTTCCAATCCCATTGCATTTCGTTGCAAAATGGCCAACAAAATTCAGAAAATCAATATGGATTTGGAAAGAATCAATCAAGAAGCATTGGGCTTTGGCCTCCAGCCACAGATTGGAGCTAGAGATGCGCCTCGTGTTCTTCCAAAGAATAGGGAGACTGCCGCTGCTACTGTTGATGTGTGTTTCGTTGGAAGAGATAATGATGTCTCAGAAATAGTAAAAATGTTGACGGCCCCAAATAATCATGATGAAACTATCTCCGTTCTTCCTATAGTAGGGATGGGCGGGATCGGCAAGACCACCTTGGCTCGAAATGTTTATAATGATCCAAAGATTGAGGAACATTTTGAGGAGAGCATGTGGGTATGCGTGTCGGATGATTTCAATGACAATAGGCTTTTTAGGCTGATGCTAGAATCATTGAAAGCACCAATGACCGGAGTTGAGGGTAAGGACGCCAAAGTCAATCGGCTCAAGGAATTATTGGACGGTAAAAGGTATCTACTGGTCTTGGACGATGTTTGGAATAAGGAGTCCAGACTATGGAATGAGTTTCTTGGGTCTTTGAGGGGTACTAGCCAAGCCATGGGGAGCTGGATTCTTGTGACCACTCGTGAAAAAGAAGTGGCAACCATCACGAGAATTTCTTCTCCTCAAGATTATTCCTTGAAAGAATTATCACATGATCAATGCTGGCTCATTCTCAAAGAAAATGCATTTGGCGCTGGGAAAGTGCCAAATAGACGGCAAGAAGATATAGGTTTGAAGATTGCAGAAAAATGCCAAGGCTTACCATTAGCTGCAAGCGTTCTCGGGGGCATGTTGCGTAACAAGGGAACGGCTGAATGGGAAACTTTAGAGAGTGGGCTTCAAAGAGGTGAAAATAATGGCATTCATGAAATTTTGAAGTTGAGCTTTGATAATCTTCCATATCCATCTCTTAAAAAATGTCTTGCATATTGTTCAATTTTTCCCAAGGATTTTGAAATGGAAAGGAATCAACTGATCCAACTTTGGGCAGCAGAAGGATTTCTTTATTCAAATCCAAGAAACAATAATATGTGTATGGAGGAAGTTGGTAACATGTACTTTACCATTTTGTTGGATAGTAACTTGTTTCAAGATGCAAAGGAGGATAGGTATGGGAATGTTGTGAATTGCAAAATGCATGATCTTGTGCATGATATGGTGCAATCCATTCCCAGTTCTAAAACTTTGAGGTTGACAGAGTCTGGAAGTGATGACCAGAGGACGTTTCCCATTCAGTATCTTGCACTGGAGAGAAGTGGAGAAGAAATGCCATTTCCATCCCCTGAAAGGTTCAAGTGTATTACAACATTATTTTTGTTAGAAGACAAATCACTTAATGATAGAGAGATATCATTTTTTATGTTGCGAGTTTTGAGTTTAAGGCCATCAAGTGTCGAGGAGCTTCCTAAATCAATTGGGAAGCTAACTCATTTGCGGTACCTTGATTTATCCAGACCTTCAATCGAAATAATGCCAGACTCTCTTTGTCGACTTTATCATTTGCAGACATTAAGAGTTGAAGATTGTGATTCATTGACAAAGTTTCCAGAAAATTTCACGAATTTGGTGAATTTGAGGCACTTTGAAGTGCGAAATTGCACAAACTGCAAAGAGTTACCAACTCTTGGGCACATGTCCTCCCTCAGATCTCTTCACTTGGAAAGTCTTGATGGCATAACAAGCATAGGACCTTCTTTTTATGGAGAATCGACCATACATAGTGGAAGCGGCAGTCAAAGTCCTCTAAAATTGTTTCCAGCACTTGAACATTTCATTCTAAGGGACATGCACAATTTGACTGAATGGACGGAAGCAGAAGTTCATGATAGAGAATTGATGGTATTTCCTGTCCTTGAGACGATAGAGATTGAAGATTGCCCCGAACTAGCAACTTTTCCAAGTCATTTTCCAAGTCTCAAGAAATTGCACATCGATTGGATTAAGAATGGGTCAGCAGTAATGGAATATATTCGCAGCAGCGGAGTTAGCACTCTCACTAGTCTTTGCCTTTCGTCTGTGAATGGGTTCACTGAGCTACCAAATATGTTATTTCAAAACAATCCAAATCTTGCACATCTCCAGTTAAGATGTTGTCATGATTTGACCCAATTCTTGGATTTTCCGTCTGATGTTCCTCAAACTTTAGAAGGTCCAAATTCCCAAACAGTGCTTGAGTTGAGCCAACCACACACTTGTATTGACAATAGTGCTACTCAACGTTTGGTTGGTCTTGAGTCCCTTGAGAAATTAGAAATTTCCGATTGCGATTCACTCAAGTCGATTTCAATCCCCAAGGGAGACAAGTACCTCACTGCCTTGCGCGAATTAGAAATTTCCGAGTGCGATGGGTTGACCCACTTGTCCATCCCCCAGCTATCTGAGTCAGAGTGGGATTCCACTTCTCCGCCCTCCCTCTCCGGTGCTTCTCCTCCTCCTCCTCTACCTCTCGAGGAATTGACAGTACACAGCTGCCCCGATCTGATCTCCTTTCCAATTGATTTAACCCGAACACCTTCTCTCTCTTACCTAGACATAGCATGTTGTCCCAAAATAACGGACTTGCCCAAGGGGAAGCTTTGTTCTCTTACAAGCTTGAGAACCTTATCGATTGGACCATTCTCAGAAACCACAGAGTTGCATTCCTTCCTATACCTCTTTGATGCTCTCCCACCACCGCACCCCTACTTCCCCTCCCTTTCAGAATTATTTCTGCGTGGATGGTCTCATTGGGAATCTCTGCCCGAGCAACTTCAGCGCCTCTCTGCCCTAACAACTCTTTGTTTAGATGGTTTTGGAGTGAAATCATTGCCCGATTGTTTTGGGAAGCTTTCGTCACTTGAACAACTTAGGCTCTGGGATTGTGAAAAGCTAGAGAATTTACCCCAATCTATGAGAAGCCTCACCAGACTAAGAAGCCTGCAGAGTCACGGGTGCCCCCTTCTAAAGGAAAGATGTAAACCAGAGAGCAGCAGTAGCAGCACCACCGACCCCAATTCTGAGTGGTCGAAGATCTCCGGCATTCCCCAAATCCGGATACTGTAATTGTTTAGCAGCAAATCAGAGGCTAATCCCCATTTGAAGCTCATAAATAACGTCAGTTTTCCCAATTAAAGCTACTAGGTATTCCTCTGTCTTACTACTTCACAGTTTTTTCAATTAATTTTGCTTCTTCTATCTATCTATATTTCTTTTCCCTTAAAATCTTTTCTTTGTATTTACAGCGGAAATGTATTGATAATATTTGTTAATCAAATCTCATTTGTGCAGCCTAACTTCTGCTCAGTCATTGATGCGAACTATTTTTCCTTCATCCTGTGCGTTTCTGCTTTCTAGGTAATGTTTCCATTTATGTTTGTGTGATCTTTTTTCCCGGAATTAGCACTTTCCAGATATTCCTTTGTGATCTACTACCATTTTTTACTTCCTCCAATATTTGTATCTTTCAACATGTTAAAAGGATTAACATTATTTGGAACTTTGTTAACGAGAGAAATTTTGTGAGACCATTTTTGAAATTTATTGCAATATGGTCGGAAAACATAATTGTTGTATTAGCTATGGTTATCCAAAACCTTTCTCAGCTATCATAGCTTATGTTTGAAAATAGTAACTACAGGTCATTCTTACAGCTAATAATTTCGAAATTTTGCAGTTTATAGTGTGCAACATAAAGTTTGCAAATTCATTGCTATGAATAATGCTAACTTTTCAGCATCCACCAAAGTATGTTTGATCAAATTTGATCATCTTATTTTTCTTTCTACTTTGCTTATGCATTTAGTATGCCATATCAATCCTTTATCTCCATTTGTTTTTTACATTTGCATCGTCGATTATTTCAGTGAATTGTTAATTCAAACTTGGTCTATATGCAGTGGTGAAGGTTTCAGACTAGTTTAAGTCTTGCTTTTAGCTCAAACAAATTCCTAGATTGCGTTGGCGTCTTTTGAAATTCTATAAATGGTAAATTTTGTATGAGTGATCCTCTATGTCAAAAATATTTAACCACAGAAGCTACTTCAGCCTGCCATTAACTCCTTAGAGTCAATCTTCATGGTTACTCTTTTATTTTGGCATTTGCTTATTCATCCTTGCATATTTCTAGTTTGAAATTTCGACATGAGTAATGTGCATGTGAGATTGTAAGGATTGACAATTGAAGTAGCCAACTAACACCACTATTACTTTGAAGTTTTAAGAATGTTTTACGTGAGAATGACTGTGGACAAGCTTGGCGACTCATGTAAGCATACATTCTTTTGGGTATCTTTCTAGTAAAAGATTTGTAACATAATGAAAAAGTGACATTTTCTACCAGTGTTTTCCATTCAGCTCAGGATTTTCACTTATAGCTGAAAGTAAGAGCTTTTTCCTCAAACTGTTTTTTTTTTTTTAAAGAATGCATTTCATGAAGTAAACTGAATTCCCTATGCTTCCATGGAGATTCTAAACTTAGCATGATTTTCAACATGATCCTATGTGTTACTTTCATCGAACAAATTGTAATAGTACTGGGAGATTGTTAGCCTTTAAAGTTATGAACTTGAAAAAGGTCAATATTTCAAGTGATAAGGATAACACTGGTTTGGGCTTTATATGGTTCTGGTAAATCATCTCTTCCAGCTCCCTTTCAGGATCTCAGGGAAGTTAACCTGTTAATTCGTGGAAGTAGTGTGGCTTTATTTCGATTGCCATTTCTGCTGTAGCATCAAATGCTGCAGAAACCCATTGGGAAGAAATATCAAGAAACTGCTTTAAGGCATGACTTAAATATCAAGTAAATTTATTGACTTTATTTTTTGAGGTATCTTGCAAATTCAGTTTTTTCTGTTATCTAATGAATTCTTACAAAATGAACTCTCTGGTTTTCGAAATTGAAATTGCTTAGAAATTTTGGGAAGGGTTTTGGTACCATAAATGCTGGTGCAATCCTGTATCAGCCTTATCATTTTGTTTTTTACCTGTTTCTTGATATTTATGTTTTTGTGGACTTTTGATTTTGTTTCTCAAATCTAAGAGGACTATTTCTATTGAAACAGGTTGTCTTGAACAAAATCTAGAGTCCTGATACGTTGTTTAAATAGCTTGATCACTTAGATGAAGTTTGAATTTGGCTATATTGTGGGTGCAAAAGGGTTTCTGACCTTAGTAACCTGATGTTAATCTATTCATAACAAATTTGGCGCAACCAAAAACATTGAGATGCTGGGTTCCAAGGAACAAAAGTCAAGTTTAATGAATTAGAATAATTTAGCCAGCTACTTATCCTCTTATATTGATGTTGGTATTAACTACTCAAGATCTAAATCAACACTTCATTCCTTTAAAAAGTAAGCGCTCATTTATGTTGTAATCTTCTAAGAATTGAATGTTACTAATTTTTCTAACTTTGTTGGTGCCTGATGGTAGCTACTTTTTGGCTCAAAGAACACTCTGTGAACAGCAGAGTCATTGCACATATTGAGGAACCTCTTCTATATCTGGCCTAGTTCAAGACCTCCCAAGATTGAGGTCTTAGCTAGCCTAGTTCAAAACCTCCTTCACAGTTGCACTAGAAAAAGTAAGCAGAAAGCTTGCTTTGCTGGAGGGATTTATCTGGGCTCTCTCCCAAGAGGAAGATTCTTGCACTTTAATTCCATATAGAGAACGTTAAATTACAATTCAGCATGAGTGTAATGCTTTCTACAGTGGTGTATGCTTACTATATAGCTTCTGATCTGATGCCATTTCTTCCCGTGGTTGTAGGCGGTTTTGAGTCTAGCTTGAGAGTCTACTCTCAGATTGATAAATTGTGGAAGAATATATGAGGCTGACAACGACAGATCATTCTGGCTAGCTGCAGGGATTCTCATGCATGAGGTACACACTTCCCTTTGTGATGAAAATTCTCTGGTTTTAGAAAATTTGTTTGACTTTTGTCAATACTGCTGATTTCTTTATGGCTTCGTGAATTTTCATAAACAATAGAATTAGTAAGATCTTCTTAAATTGCCATTTATTTTAAACTTGTCTGAAATTTTGAATCTTCCACCCATGGTTTTCAAGGTTAAATAACAGAGCTATGGATGAGCAATACATGGGAAAGCCACTGGTCGGATTTTTAAGTTGTGGTATGTTCTTGCTCCCATAATCATGCATCTACTTCCTAGGTCTATTATTTCCACTTTTCTGGAGTGTATTTACTATTGCACTTAACCTAACAGATACCAAATTTGTTTCCATTTAGATGACAACTGCTGCAAATGAGGCTTGTCAGCCCTTTTAAAGAAACATAACCTAGTCGAATTGAGAAGCTTTCGTCTGTTGAAGGGTTCTAAGTTGGCAAATGCAAAAAGCTTGAGTGGTAATCCTTCCACCAATCCACCAGAAGGCTTGAGTGGATATAGGATGCGTATCTTTTGATTTATAGGGAAGATGATGTCACAAGGGGAGCTGCCCCAACAGCGAGTGATGCAAGAGCTATGAGATTTTCTACTTTGATCATATTCTAATTGGATGCTAAGTTGTCACAATCTGCTTAAAATCTAAGAAAACTGAAGTCTACACTGAGTGTGTTAATGATTTAGTCAATTCTGTGTATTCTATAATATGCTATCTTCAGTTCTGTACATTCAGTCTCATGATGCTATACAATCTTTTGGCATTTTGCTTGACAGACCCTTGTTGCTATACGTGAAAGTGAATTGAGTATTGGAACATTGCACAATGTATTTGAGTTTTGGAAAATCTGGTTCCAAAAGAATTTGCAAAATTTATTATATTAGAGGAAAGAAATGTACGATTAGAAATGTGAACACAGAACATCTACCAACATTGTTTTTGGAGACTAGTACTCTTGATGATGTGTTCGCCTGCAAGCTGATAGGTTTCTGTATCTTAATCTATCATTTACTACAATCAAAACCTTGCTAGCTATGTTTGCAAGCTTTATATTTTAATCAGAACTAAACTTTTCCATGTCAGCTATACCAAACTTTAAGATACCACCAATTCAATGGCTCTCATTGTTTGGTTGGTCAACGAGTGGATGTGAGTTACTGTCTCTGTTAGTAGACAAACCACTTTGTCTGCACAATATAAGCATCGACAGAGAGGAGACATGAGAAGAAATGTCAAGTTTCCATTTTGAGTTTTTATGAGGATAAAAATGGACAGAAATGAGCGGATGACTTTTGGAGCCACAGTTAAGAAAGTGTCCAAATTGGTGAGAAATGGATTTGAGTTATCAAAATGCAACTTTTAGCCTCAAAAATATATAAAATAGGATAGCATTAAATTTACCAAACCATTTCTTTCATCCCTTGAACTCTAAAACAAGATTTAAAAGCTCTCTAATCTCTTGCTTCTCATCTCCTATCATTTTTTGTGTCTAAAACTAATTTTTCCTCTCTCCCCCCTAAACTCCAAAACTAGCTGTACTTATGCATTGATTCATTTTAACACGTTACCAGACCCGGAATATTGGAGCAGAAACAGTGCTGATGTGAAAACATCTACAATCCCATGGTGAAAACAAAGGCACCACCACATTTCCTGCTTTCAACAATAATATCAACTGAAATAAACAAAAACTCCAGCACACACACAAACACATAAGTAATCGAAGGGTTCCTTCTCACTTTTTCTGATGTAAGTGTAAATGAATCTGATAACAGGTCACCAAAAAAGGTACTTTTATTTCTTAAACAGGTAATTACACAGATAATGATTGGCAGATGGAGCTAAAAGATACAGTAAGCCACACACATCTAGTAGTATCATCAAATATGATAAAATGAAACTACTACCAGGTTTACTAGAATGTTGAGCACCAAGGAAGTAAGAGCTTATATGTACTACTTATTGGACCATGAATGCATGAAGGTAAGATCTGATTGAAAACTCCAAAACTTTTTCGTCACTATCACAAAAATTGTACGTCTACTAAAAAATAGACAGCGGACATGAACTTCCCTCAACCTAAAATTCCCTCTTCAACATGATAATTACTGCAAAAACATGTATATAAAACAACATCCTATTTCCAAAAATACAAATGCAGCACCGCAATGACTAGCTCTTAAACCTAATGCTGCGGCTGATTGCTGCATTAATACCCACCATAAGTACCAGTTGGCTTCCTGATATCTCGCACTTGTCCCTTCCGACGCACCACTGCTTTTTGGTGCTTCAACTGTGAGAAAGAGAGATACACCAGCTATGTAGTTGGGAGTTTAATTTGTTTAAAGAAAAAAGATCAGCAGTCATTGCCAGATACCTTGTGCTTCTTTCTTGGATTTTTGGTTAGCTTCTTCCGAGCACGAGTTAACCCTCTGTTCTTCTCCATCTGATAATTGCAAGCACAAATAATTTTAACAGTTAGTTAAACACAAGTAAAATGAGAAATTCTGACCTGATAAAAAATTTGGCGCTTCCCATCTACAAGAGTTTCTGGCAAAGGTGTGAGTTTTGTGGATCTGAAGAAAGGAACACAAAGCAAAGAATAAGCAATCTGAATGCCTCCTGACACATTATTGACTGCACAATGAAGAATAAGTAAGTGAAAAGAAAGATATCTCATTTGAAGAAGCAAGTGATTTACATTTGAAGAAGCAAGTGATTTACATTTCAATGTAATGCCAATATTGAACTAACAGCAGCGACTGCTAATTTGACAGCAACGCGTGCTCATCACATCAGCTATCAAAAGAGGTGCTACAGCCTAAAGATTTGGAACAAAGCTCTGGATGATATATGAGTAAATGCTTGAAAGCTGATTGCTAAATTCTCCATATAATTGTGAATATTCACGCATTCCTTCTTTCACCTTCTCCTGCACAATTGCTGCTATTCTTTCATTTCAGACATTTCATTCCGTAGAATCATTAATCAACATCTCTTCCTATACAAAATCCCTTCACAATCTTCATAATCATCCACTTAACAAAAAAGAAGAAATGGAGGAAAAAAAATGAAAAGAATAGCAAATCCAACGCCAGAACTAAAATGGTAGATTATTTGTTGGTTGCTCTTAATCTTTGTGTTGTTGAAACATTGGTTGTGACTTCGGAACACAATGTCAACCAAGTTACCCTTTTTCTGAAAAGATTCCGACCACTTTTATATCATTGATGATGTTCAGTGCTTTAAGGCTTATATTAAGCAATCATGAAAATCAAGATTACTCCAGTTTAAACTGCTTACTCTTTGTCGAATATGTGTCCATGAAAACCAGCTTCTGCAAAACTACTCACAAGATATAAATGACCAAGAAATACTTAAATTATCAAATCAATGCAAAATCATTTAGGTTCCAAACAGATTGAAATGGAATGGAAAATGATGGATATTGTGAATGGATGAAAATTTGAATTCAATCAAATACAGCTGGGATAGTCATCTCTTGGTTGCTAATTTCTGCTCTGTTTGTTCTCTTCTAATTATTGCCCAAAACTTATTTGTAAAAATGCCTTAAAAAGCCAAATTCAGCTTTCTGAATTCAATTAAGAAAAAATGTTGTACAGTTATATTAGGTGTTCTAAGGATTGTACATAGAGAGAACTTATTTGTTTTAAACCCAGTTTACCATTTTAGAACCAAGATAGAGAGAACTTGCTTGTTTTAAACCAAGTTTACCAAGTTTATACATGAGTAACATGATTAGAATTAGATAATAATTAATACATATATGTATAATACTAAATATTAAACAATAAACATAATTAGTAATTACAATTTAGATATTGGTAATTTATACATCATTCATGTTTGAATTATTGAATATTTGAATGCGTAACTTGTAACTTGCAAGTATTAACGTGCTCTAAATTTACATTACATATTTAACATAAAAATTCATATTCTTTATTCACTAATCTTAAGGCTTTAAGTATAGACAAGACAACTAAGCATTGTAAGTGAATGTATATGAATTGCAAATCAATGTATTAGTATATTGACTTTCACAATAACATATGTAAGTAAATAAGTTTTATTTTGATTTGAAATAAACTATAAGTTTGTAACTAATATAACTTATCACTAATCATTGTAATTTGTAAGTTTGTAACTAATATTACTTATTATTAATCATTGTAAATTATAAATTCATAAATTATCACTAATCATTATATAGTCTAAGATTTATTCTAGTTTAAATTAATCATTTTTTATGTGTTCCTTAAATCATAGGCTAAGGATTCTAGGAATAAATTATCAAATAAATGCCAATTGAATTAAACCACAAAATGATTAGAACATAAGTAATGTGTTAAATTATGAATAAATTTGGAGATCAAATCAATAATAATTTTTAAAAAATCAGTTTTTTTTTATAAATGAATTTGGTTAACCAAATTCATTACCATTTCCAAATTCGAAATCGGCTGCGAAATGAATTCGGTTATAGTCAATTTGAAATTGAAAGCGGTTTAGATTTCTATAAGTCAAATAACCGAATTCACTGAATTCAGTTAACTGAATTACCGAATTTGTACCGTTTGCTCACCCCTACTCTCATGCATTAGATTTTTGTGTCTAAAAATAAATCAAAACTTTTTATATGGTGAGATGCATGTTGAAATTAAAGAATATGTCAAAGTCTTTTTGGGCGAAGGCTGCGGCTTGCACTATTTATCTATTGAATAGTATGTATGTTGCCTCTGGAATGTATGTATACACTCTGACAGTGTTACAAAGTAGGTAGTTTTGATTTTTTCTATACTTTTCTTGGTTAAAGAAATCTGCAGCTAGACCAGCAGAATGTTGCGAAGGCACGACATTATGTAAAGATAATTGAAATAACATATTTCACTCGAACTGCAGAGAGGCATCTAATCAGTTACTACTAGTTTTTTATATGCAATGTCCTCCTTGTTACTAGAATAGTTTCTTTATCTCCATTTGCTAAGGCAGCTCCAGATTAACTACCTAACAGTCAAGATTGACTAGCAACCTTGCATAATATGCAAGAGTTATAATAACAACAATGTAAAACATGCAAATGTACTCTATCTGTTTATGCATATTATGTTTGCAATTTTTTGTTATACTGTTACTCTTGGTGATGTTTAAATTGAATGCCACATTTGGCCTTATTGGAGGCTTGCTTGTTCCATCTATATTTCAAGTCAATAGGAAATTTTGCAAGTGTTACTTAAGAACTAACACCAAATAATACACAACCACTGCAGAATCCAGGCAACCTGACGCGATGTGTCAGGCTTAAAAAAACTAGGATTAGTAAATATGTTTCCTCAAGTTGATATTTAATGAGTTGCTATTACTTTGGATGTGGAATTGATGAATAAAGCAGCCAGGAGGCATAGATGCATAAAATTGTTGATGGATACAAGTCCTTTAAAGTTGCATTCTCTTCCCCTTTTGTCTTAGCTCTTCTATATGGCAAATTGTTGATCAAAATCAACTGAAACAAGCATTCTTTTGCCTTGAATGATCTGGTTCTATCAGGACCAATCTATTTATACTTTTTGTTTTTTTTCCCTCTAACAAAGCCAGTGTGGTGCCTTGTTCTATTTGGATTCTACTTGTGGTTAGATTGTACTTAATTGAATTCACTTGTAATTCTTTTTTCTTTTTAGGATGATTTAGGTTTTGCTGAAGGTGAAACCAAGTGCAAAATGCTCCAGAATGTTCCGCATCAGATTGTGCAATCTCCAGCTTGGCTAGGCTTACCAAATCCAAATTCACCTTCTCTTCA